ATCCTTACATATTTCAGCACTGATACTCATTCTTCACAAAGGAAAATAACACCCATGGCAAGTCATGAACAGCTAACTGCGTGCGACTCGCTCACAAACGATGAAGGCAGATGACTTAAGCGCCCCGCGACCTTGAATGCGACTGATGATGAAAGAGAAAGAAAGATCGGACAGCAAAAGAGCTTGAAATCTTTCTCTTCGCAGCTGGAGATGGCGAAGGAGGATGGAGTGGGAGAAAGGGTGGAATGGCGAAGGAGAAAGAAAAGGAGAAGATGGTGAAGATGGCAAGGAGAAGAAAAAGGAGAAATGCGGATGGCGTAAGGAGAAAGAAAAGGAGAAGATGGTGGATGGCGAAAAGGAGAAAGAATGGCGAAGGAGAAAAGAAAGGAGAAGATGGTGGATGGCGAAAGAGAAAGAAAAGGAGAAGATGGTGGATGGCGATGAGAAAGATGGTGGAAAGGAAGGAAAAGAAAAGGAGAAGATGGTGGATGGCGAAGGAGAAAGAAAAGGAGAAGATGGTGGATGGCGAAGGAGAAAGAAAAGGAAGAGATGGTGGATAGCGAAGGAGAAAGAAAAGGAGATGGTAGATGGCGAAGGAGAAAGAAAAGGAGATGGTGGATGACGAAGGAGAAAGAAAAGGAGATGGTGGATGTTGTGAATATGTTATAAGTGAAAACGAAGATAATACTCACCAAGAATGGATTACGGCAATAACAATATATATTTAGAAGTTGCTGGGTCCAACTGACGGATATAAAGGTAGAAGAAATGTATTACTCTTATCCCCTTTACTTCTCTCTTTACCATAACTATCACCATCACTTTCCCTAACTAAAGAATATGGGAATTAATAACCACAGTTAGCATGCGTTGTTTATTTTCATTTTAATTTGATTCATCAAACCAAACACTGACAGGAAGCATCAAACAGAAATAGAAAACAAAAGACGAGCGTGTCTAACACCTCGTACAACTTCCACACGAAGGATAAGGCATCGGACACGGCACCAAATAGGCGTCACCTGGGAAGATAAGTGTTTATTATTGTATCATTGTAAAGTTAAAATTGTTTACTATTTATAGAGCTCTTTCTGTCATTGTTTTTATTCAGTAATGACTTTCATTCATTCCATTGTTTCTGTAATTGTTTATTATTCAATAGCGACTTTCATTACTGACTGACTTTACCGTTTAGTAAGCATTATAAAAGCTCATTATTTCACTCTTATTTGTCATTTTTATTATTATTATCCTATTCTAAAGTCAATTATAATTCGTTCGTCTAAATAACATCCGGACATTTTATTGTCTTGTTTCTGTGATATTTGCTTGACAAGGAAGGGAACAGGCGCCTTAGGAATGCAATTTTTGTCGTGTGTTGACACGTTGGTTAGGCTACGATGTTTCTTTATATTTTGGCGTTTGCTTCCGTTGCCTTTCTTGTTGTTGTTATTGTTATTGGTGTTGATGTTGTTCCTGTAACTGTCTGTCTCCCCCCCCCCCATGCCTCACCCCCTTTTGAAAAGCAGTTATCCAGGCTGGTTAATGAAATAGTGATTAAACTTACTTTGATAATGAGCATCGGCTCCCACGCTGCCGGAGATTGCACCTTCATCCTGCACGAAACCTTGCAGATCTGCAGAGTGTTTGGCTTACAATAGTACTTCATTTAATAGTTCATTCAAAGGTTGTATGTGTGTGTGCGGTAGTATATCATACACATATATGTATATATAGACACACACATATATAATATATTATATATATATATATATATATATATATATATATATATATATATATATCAAAATCGTTCATTAGTTCTTGCCTTTGGATACTTACAAACCCAAAAAGATTTGACTTTTGACTGGCGTTTCTTACTCGCTTCTTTAACCAAATCAGTAAAGTAACAGATGTTCGCATCAAAACCATTTTCTTTTCGCCAGGCTTCTCAAATACAAGGTCTGTCTCTGATAATAATCCTGGCGCTTTAGCTAAACCATAAAAGGGCTAAATCCCTTACCATGTTCAAGAATATTTTTCACACTAGTTAACGCCATTACCGCCAGAGAGCACTGCTTCTCATGGGGCTTGATCAACAACCTTCGCTTACTTGTCTGAGAGCCCAAGCTTCCTCCGCCGGCACTGGACTGCGCCGAGGACCACATTCCTCCCTTGCCCGAAAGATCGCCCAGGTACGCTGTGTGGAGACAGAATAGAAGATTGTTCATGAATCGAGGATGTCTCCAGTGTTTGGAAGTCTGCGAAATGAATGAAATACGAAAATGAATGAATACCTCTGGAGTAGTGAAACCAGGTGACTGAGGTGCTGGAGCCATGCTTGGTCTTTAAGCCGAATAAATGGCGTAGGGTGGCGGTGGGAAGGAAAGGTAACGGGATGGAGAACTAGAGGGTGCTGCCAAATGCATTTCGGGGAATAAAGAGAAAAGGAAGGGAAAGTGAGGGAGATTCACTGCCTCGGCTGCATCCTCCGTTGTGGTACGAGGATTGATAGCAAGAACTGGGCGCAAAAATCGTTTAAAAAAACTAAGTAATTCTAGATTTATGAGGCAAAAGATTTAAGGGGAAAATGGGATCGACTTACTCCCCCGACTGCGTCCACCGTCAACGCTCTCCGCGTCGACAGCTCCCCTCAACTGCCCTGAGTTCGTCAGCTTGCCCTGCAGACCTGT